AAAAAGAAATATAATACTAAATCTCTGGAGTACCATTTACCCCCATCTACCCTTGCCTCTCTCTGCAGATCTGACCTGATCTCCTGCAGCTTGATGGATAAGCCTGCTGCACGTATACATGACTTGATAAATGTGGGTTATTTCGAGTGTCACAGTCAGAAGAATCAAATCTGACTTTATTATGCAGACCAACTGCGCCTCCTGTGTACCCATTTCCTTCCTTCTTTTGCTTTCCTCTGACGAGATGCAGCAGTGCGAGATTCAAAGATTTGATTCATTTAGTAAAGAGCTTCATAAACCTAAAATACCACCTGGATTTCTTGTCAGCATTACAGGGTCAGAAAGTCAAAAGGGCCCAGCTTTCATTTTTCTAATGGGTCCAAAAAAAGCTTTGAAAGTATGCAACAGAAAGGATTCGGAAAAAAATGACGAGGCCCTTCTCACAACAGTGTTTACAGGAAACAGTCAGCACGCGATTTCTGATCCAGTGCCACTTGTTGATAAGAATTCTGCTTTCCCATTACAACATTTCACAGTGCACTGCTACTGCAAGAATCCTTTTATTTTACTAAAGCCATCAGCAACTCAAGATTTCATGAAATAAAATTAAACTTAACTGTGAAAAGCCTGATTTCCTTTAATATTTAACAAGGAAATGATATAGATTTGCTGTAGTCAAGCTTCTTACAACAACTTCACTTCAGTAGCAGCAGAAAAATGTAGTCATCATTATGTGAACCAGAACTACCTCAAATGATGACTTGTGATGTTGATTTTATTCTGCAAGTTAAATACTGAATGTCAAAGTTAAAATGAATGTGACTTTCTTTCATTTCTTTCTTAGTGTCTGAAATGTGTAAAGCAATGATACATCTGCAGGAAGCTTAGAAGTGTCTATAATCAGCCTTTAACAGTATGGACATTACTAGTACATACATTATTTTTAAATGCTAAACTCTGAAAGTTATCTGATGATCGATCACTGGAAATTACAATAGCAAACAGAGGAGGAATGATCTCATCCAGCATTCTCTTCTAAAAGACACAGGACTGCAAGCTGGGGAAAGGCTTTTTAAAACCTTTCACGTATAAATGTTTCATTTAAATATACTTCAGGAGTCTGCTGGCCTATGCTGAGCGATTCATATGTAGATCCATAATGAGTCTGTCTAAATAACTAACCTGATCAACAGTATAACACCTCAAGTGACTTTAAAAATGAAAACTCCATGAAGATGCTGTAAAGTAAAGTCATTAGCGGTGCTGCAACATTTATGGTCCTGAATGGGGATTTTTTTAAAAGGAAAAGAAAGGTCACTGCAAACCCAGGCAGCTACTAATTACAGTCTCACACACAATGGCAGTCTTTGTGCGCACATGTGTGTGTGTGTGTGTGTGTGCGTGTGTCTGACTGACAGCTTGTCTCTCCCCTGCTATGCTCCTGCTCATGTCCTGTTCTAATAGGCTGACAGCGAGGAACTGTGACGGAAATCTTAGTGACGCACTGCTAGAAAAATCACAGCTGAGGGGAAACTGAATCTTGGAACCAACATGCTCAAAAAAAAAAGAAGCATATTAAACACTGAACTACTCCATAAAAATCAAACAGAGCTTCTCTCTGACATGCAATTGAAGACACGAAATGGAGGCACAGGAAAAGACAAAATATCAGATGGAGAAAAGGTATCTGTTGAGCTCCTCTGAGTGCGTTTGACTCTGTCTAAGGAATTCAAGGCTCCTGTGGTGCTTCCACACAGAGAAGTTTACATGTTAGAAAGTTAGAAAGAAAGACACTTCCTGTTTTCTTTCAAATGTACTTGCAGTGTTTGTTAAATAAGAGCAGCGTGAGATAGTTTGAGCTGCACGAGGCGTTTGCAGTCTGCATTACATCTAAATAGATAACAGTGCTGACACACTGTTTGCACATCACCATCATTATCATCATCACCACTGCAGAGCGATAGTCTTCTGGATCAGCTTGTGCTGTATTTATACACCAAATTAGCCTTAACAATAAAACCAACCTAATACTTAATAGGCATCGATCAGTATTTCTGACTGATCAGGGGCCATCGGGACCCCTGTGGTGTCTGGCACCTTCAGGTTTGGCAGGGCCTGTGTGTTAGATTAGATTAGATTAGATGAAACTTTATTAATCCCTCAGGTGGGTTCCTCTGGGAAATTCAGTACAAGGTTGTACATTCAGGGTTGTGGTGTGGCATCTTGTGGCTCAGTTATATTCTGGCTTTTTCACAGTTTATAAGGCTGGGGCTGTTTCTCAGGCTCACTGTTGTTGAACAAGGTATTTGTGAGGGATTCTGAGTCAACAACCACGTTTAGATTGGTAATGATTAATGTCCACATGAATGCCAGGAGCCAAACACTTCTCTTCACCTGCGAGTGGTTTTAATGTTGTGGGATAACGATGTTTGCTGCTTCACGAGGGATTCTCCTTTACATGTTATGTAAGTGTGTGTGTGTGTGAGCACGTTCATGTAAATGTCACTTTCGGCTGAGATTATCTAATGGGCAAATTAAGCTGCCAACGCCGGAGCGACATTTTGAACAGTGGGTTGTGTCTTTAATGTTTCATCGTCCTCGAGTGCTGGCAGATGTGCATCAGCTGTGATTGCGCCTCCAGCTGTGATCTAGTTTTTTTCACACTTAATTGTTAATGTAATAAAAAAAAAAGATGGGAGGTCGCGTTATTCGACCGCAGAGGCAGAAGGATTTTCATAACCTTGTTAAAAAGGGAAAACGGGAGGAGGAAAGGAGACAAGGAAAACAATTTGAGGACAAGATGCTGTAAAAACAACCATGACTTTGGTAATGTTATCACTTAGCTGCCTCACATTTCACCCCCTCAGGGTTTCACTTGCTGTGAAGGGGACATGTGATTTAAATGATCACAAGCATCCTCCCCTACCTGTCCCCCATCCACCTCTTTAGCTACTTCAATCCTAATGGCCTGACAGGTTGGTTATTACCTCCCACTGCTACCGAATCCCCCTCTCCCCCTTCTCTTTAGCTGTGTTATGTTGCAGTGACAGAGCAGTATGATATAGGTTCTCCCAAAGAGGGAGCATGATGCTTGAGCACATCATGGTGCTGTGATGCTACTAGTCTGTGCAGGAGAGGATGGAGTATGTGCGTGCCGAGCATTCACAAATTCACATTTGCAGCGTGCATGCATTCATTCATGCGTGGTTGTACTCGTGTTTGCATTCAGCTAAAGTCGTACAGCTGTGACAACAGGACACCCAACGCATCAATCATCTGTGAGGGTTCACCGCAGATGAGAAAGAGATGGAGAGAATCTCAGGCATGCTGCTTCTTCGGCATTTATATCTACTCCTGTGGGGATTATTTATGGTCCAATCAGACCCCGGGTGTTTCCAATTCAACTCAAACCCAATCCATAAATTAAAGTAGGCCTTGAGAGCATAAAGAAATGGCCATAAGAGCTCTCCCTCTCTCTTTGTCTGACCTTTCCTTTTCATCATTTTCACTTCATCCTCTCCCATCCACTTCTGTCTTTATGATACAAACAAAACTGGCTGCGCATTTTCAGAGAGGAAAACGGCCATAACAGGAAACGCGGTTTGCAGGAATAAGTGTGCATGTGTGCCATTTCCAAGGGGCAGCCCCCCTATTCACTGACACAGCGGGATGAAGATAACAGTAAAGCTTGTTCTCTTGTTTCTCTCTCTCTCTCTCTCACACCAGCTCCTGAGGAAGAAAAACTGAGGAAACTCGTGTAAAGCAAATCACTGCATTCAAGTGGATTAACTGCACAAGTACTCAGATTAAACTATCAATAAATCAAATGATCATGCAGCTACACCGTAAGCCATACATACTCTAACCACGCAACTCAGCACAATCAAAGCACACTTTCACATAAATATCCACGCAGGTTTAAGCAAAATTCGTATTTTACGATAAAATTACAACTAAACTTCAACAACTACTTCTATTTCTATTTTTTCATGCGTGGACAAAGCATTTTGAGGGCGCTTGATAAAAGTCAAGAAGTCCTTAACCCTTCTGTTAAAATACAGCACAAAAACACAACACTCACTCAATCACTGTTGCACACTGCGTGATCTGCTCAGATGTTATTTACAACCAACCCGTGCGGGGATATTTCCTTCAGCAGTGGGTATCTTGTGCGTCCCAAGCAGATGCAACTTTTTCAGAGAGCACCAACACGCCAGAAAAAAATCGACTCTGCTGTCCGTTCCCCGTAGTTACAGTCCGCTTCTTTTCCCAAAGCCGCGCAGTCCACGGCGGCTCTGATCTGCTGCTGATCCACGGCTGCTGCTCAGGTTGAAGGTGTTTGGTACTGTCACCGGCACAGCCCGATGTAGCGCTCTGCGAGGCGGGCTCACTCTGTGCTTCAGCGGGGGCTCGAGAAACGATCCACAACAGTAAAGGTTCAGGACAGGGACGGGGAAGGCAGGGGCTGTGAGAGGGGGGGCCGCGACATCCGATGAAGCCATTCCTTGACGCTCGTGCCTTTGCGCCAGTGGGGTTGATATTAAACTGATATAAAAACCTCATTTAAAACTTGTAAACACTATCTACGTGCGAACTAGTTTTTTCAAGCTCAACGGAAGAAAAATCAACAGTTCAGAAAACTGCACATTTTTATTTTAGTGTTTGAAAGTAACTACTGAGCTTGTTGTTTTGCTAACTTGAATATTGTTCTAAATTATATAAATCACTTTAAAAGACATTCCTTAATAGAGTTTTATGTTTGTGTCTTATTATGCCATTGATTTGAGACAGAAAGTTTTATTAGCAATTTTTCCAACATGCAAATGTGCATGTAAAATTCTGCAAAGACCAAAAGACTGTGTACATTTTGTCTTTATTGGACAGTTAATTGTTATTTTAAATTCCCTGCTCTCTGTTAGTTGCACTGCTTAAGATGTCAGTGGTCTAATCAGCCACCAGTGCATGTAGGTATGCAGGTGATATCAAGACAAGTTCAAACCAAGCATTAGAATGGGGAAGAAGGTGATTTAAGGGAAGTGTGTGGGTATTTCAGAAACTGATGGTTTTCTGGGATATTTCTCATACATTTGTCTCCAGAGTTTATATATAATTGAATTGAGAAAATATTCAATGAGTGACAGTTCTCTGGAAGAAAATGCTTTGCTGAAATCAGAGGTCAGAGAATGACCAGACTGTTTCGAAGTGATTATAACCAAGGTATGTAGAAGAGCATCTTTCAACCCAAAACATGTACACTGAAGCAGATAGGCTACTGCAGCAGAAGACCACATCTGGTGCCACTTATGCCAGCTAAGAACAGGAAACTGAAGCTACAGTTAGCATGGGAACATCAAGATTTGACAACGGAAGATTGGGAAAAACATTGCTTGGTCTGATGAGAAAAGAACATACATCAGTATCTTCTTAACTTAGGCTCACAGTGGGCTTTTGTGGAGCTGTGTGGAGGCAAGGCCCTGGACAAGGCTAACACAGAGAGAAACAGACAACTTCATATTTCCACCTCCACACATAGGTCCAATTTAGGAAAAAACAGTTAACCTAACGTGCATGTCTTTGGACTGTGGTCAGAAAACCACTCAGGCACAGGGAGACCATACAACTCCACACACAAAGGCCCCTGCCAAGAGGGCCAAGAGGTTGAAACCTGAAACCTTACTGTAAGGCAGTAACAAAAAAGTCAACAAATAAACTTAAAGAATGGCTTTAACATTAAAACAGATTACAAACCCACTTGTAACCTCGTGTCCAAGTAACTGAGGTTATACTCTACAGTAATTTGCAAGTATTGTAACTATTCTCCTGTGATTTAAAGCGTGTTTAAAACTGTTTGGTGAGTTTTTTCTAAGATATACTTAGATAAATATGAAAATGTGCTTTATTTTGGAAAATCTTCCCATCTTCTTAGCATGTGACCATGCAGATATTGCTTCACAGTCTAAACAACTAATATTTACAGCATGTGATGGGCAATATATGAAACAAAAGAATATTAGCCATAAAAAGTCATCAACAGTTGAAATACTACCTCTGAGCCAGCTTGTCTGCACTGAGCCCCCCACTTACTTACTTCTGTCCCCTCTTATGTCCTGGGAACACAATATAGGGTCTCCTCTTCTCATCACAATAGACTTCCACCTGCTTAATTCATCAATGAAACCGGAGCTGCAGGAAAGCCTGTCCTAATTTCTTAGACGTCGACATATGGGTCGGTTTCCACCAGATCTTAAGATGCAGAAATCAGTGCCAGTCAAAAGGAGCAGCTGTCAAGGTGTAATGTTATGTGATATACTGCAGGTAGCAGGGTCAGTTTACTTTAGTAGGGACATCTGGTCCACAGCATTAAAGGTTAAAGAAAGCAAGCATAATCCATTTTCCCCACACACAGTTGTCAAGAAAATAAGGAGCCTCTTATAATCATTAATGTAACAACCCTGAAGTGTGACCCTGGCTCTCTTAAACCCTCATTTACAGCTGATTCACTTATGAACCTATAAAATGCATTAAAATATTTGGTTATATGAGGTTGTCTGTGATTTTTCTTTTTGTTTGTTTTTTCTCCTTCCCTGAGTTGTTTTTTTTTTTACTCGGTGTGATTAAATAACTCATTAAGGTGTGTGCATCTGCATCCATCCATCTGCAGGGCGGGATTATATTAAAGCGCCGCTAAAAGTGTTTGTACAGCAAAAACCAAGGACCTGCAAACCTGAAACTTCCACCAATACTCAGACCCTAAAACCATATGTTGCACTGTAATAAGCAACTTAATATTTTTGCAATAACTTGGGGGGAAAAAGCAGGAAAACTCCTTAGCAGGGAGTTAATATTAATATATTTATTATTTTAATCAATTTAATTCATCTGCATCATTGCTCCACTCTTTTCACCTTTAGAAATGTCAGTTCTTAGACCATTCACCACCCCAAAAATGATTGAGCACTATCTACAGACTTTTGCTTGTCTTAACTTGCTCAGTAGTTTTCTTTACGTCAGTTTATTTAAATGTTGCCAGCGATTCAGGACAAGCAGCAGAGCATTCATATTATGGACTAACTCACTATCACTTCGAGATATCAGCACATGCACTGGTGTGTGCTAAACATTGTCTTCACTGCAACCTATGAACATCAATAACCCCTTAAGTCTTTGTTTCACTGGAACCAAAACCAGCACAGGCTTCCTTTGCATACTGGAAATCACACGTTTTAGATGCTGTTAAGATGGGTCAGTAAGTGTGCAGTGACATCCAGTAATTAGTGCTGTATGCAAAACATTTGCTTGATCAAACTTAAGCAAAGTATTGGAACTATATGTGAAATCAGATTTGCATCTGGTTTTGCACATTTGGTGTCACTTATGAGAAGGTGTGAGGAAAAATAACACATCTCTAAAATCACTACGTCACCTTTTCTATTGTAAATTGTGCCCGTGTCACATTTTCAGCATTCAGTGCTACCAAATTACCATGCTCTCATGGTTTACCTGGACCCCCAACCACTGCTGCTTGAGGCTGTAATTCTTCCCAATGTTTACTTCTCCACTCTAAAAGTGTGACCTGGAAAAATTCCTGGAACCTTAATGCCATGGTCCTAAATACCTTATACTACTCAGATGCCAAAATGAGGAACTCATAACTTCTTTTAAACGAGGGATAACGAATACAAATCACGGGGAAATTATATTTTTGAAAAACTCAAGGTTAGAAGAGATATGAAATGTCACTGTATTTCTGTTAAACAGAGGTTTAACTTTTGGACTCTGAAGCACACTAAAAGTGTTTAAAAAACGGCACAGAAACAACATATTTATTCAGTATTGTGATGACGGTTTAGTGTGAGGATGGTTTAAAATCTGAGATTTTATCTGTATCTGGACTTGGCATGAATGGTTTTATTATTTATTTGTTTTGTTGTGATTGTGTATTTAAATCTTAGGTTACAGATCTACTTTAGGATAAATTTTCCTTACACGTTGATTGTTGCATCGGGGTAGGTGTTATCGACACATTTTCCATTTTTTATGGGATTTCTTATGATTGTATTTCGTCATTTATGCTATCGTGGTTAAAATGAACTTTACTGAATGAAAAAGTAAAGACAAGAGCCTTCAATTTGTAGTTTATGAAGAAAATCTTTAAAAATAAAGTTCTTTATTAGATTGCATCTTCAACAGCATCAACCTGTTTCTTTGACGTCCAGCCAGCTCTCCTGCTAGAAGACAAAGATATTGAGGACTCCCGTTACTGCTGAACTCCAGCTAACCTCTCTCCTCTGCGCACAACATACCAATTTATTTTCTGTTCCAATGCCAAGTACATAACCCCCACCTCTCCTGCTCATCTGTCTTCAGACTGTCAGGTACGTCTGTTTCTTTTCATCTGCTCAATACAACTTCTTACAACTGCCCACCATCATGTCAAACCTATACACATACCCTATTTACCACAACACTCCTTTTCTCAACCCCTTTTTTCCTTTAAATCATCTCCATGGTTCAGTTCAGCTTCAGGCTTCAGCAGTCTGCAATGCTAATATGATTTCTAGCTGAAATGAATCGTGCAAATGTGCTGTAGCCTCTCCTTTTCCCCAGTGGGTTCCCATTTAAGTCCACTTCATTTGACTGGAGTGGGTGGAGGGGTTTTTAAAATTTTATTTATTCTTTTTTCTTTTTTTGAACTGCGGAGGATTACAGTGGACATTTTTCTAGGCTTGATGTTTGTGGGTGGAGTATCTCTTATTTTTCCAGCATCCAAAAAGCCCTGTTAGTTTATTGTCTCTTGCAGTATGCAAAGACTATGTGTGAGTGTGAGTGCGAGTATGTGTGTGTGTCCTGCTGCAGCAGTGTGTTTCTGCAGATCTCTGTGTGCCCAAGAGTGTTTTCTAAAAAAAGTCCTTGCCCTCGGCAGGCAGCGAGGTTTGTACACGACAAGACTGTTTATTTCATAATAACAGCGAGGAGGTTGCTGCCTGTGCAAAGACAGAAAGAAGTCCCGCTCGTGCTATTGTTCTCATGCTTTTGACAAAAACTGCTTTAAGCATGCTTGTAGGGAATCTGGTGGGTCCGCCACATCCATGTTTGTGTCCAGACTGAAAGATACAGGCAGATTTGGCTCATATATTCATGTTTTCCAGATGATTGTTGACTGGTCAAGACTGAAGTGATCCACACCCTCACTGTGAAGAGCATCACATTTTGTTTTTCAAATTGAAATTAATGTTGCTGTGCTTGGTCTCCAGAGGATAAATCCTAATAGGTTTAAATGAAGCTCCACCAAAGGAGAACAGATGTTCTTGATTCTTTTCTTTTTTTTTAAAGAATGGGCCTTTTGGGCGGTGGCTACACATAGTGTAAGGTCAATCACTTTCCACAGAGCACAGGCCTGTTATATCTGGCCCTCTGAAAAAGGAAAGGA